TTTTTTTTTTTTTTTTTCGAAAGCTTTTTTAATCCGTCAGTAATTTAAACTTCTCGTCTCCGCGCCTACCGCCGAATAATCAATTTGGACAGAAGCAAAAAGCTTAGGATGCGAAAGGTCTAATTTTCAATATTCATGAGAGTCGGACAGTGACAGCGAGGAAGAGGGATGCTCAAAGAGTCTGGATGAACGAAAGAGATAAAGAAGCTTTTTGGCCACTGGCAAGAGATTAAAGCTCAAAATATTTCAAAAATATTCTTCTTTGCCACCCTTTCATTTTCTCGTGGCAGTCCTCCGGAGTTTCAACCGTAACTTCACCTTCGAACAACCTAACCTAACCTAACCTAACCTAACCTAACCTAATCTTAACTACGTTGAGGATAAAATTTTTCTGCCACGTCGTCGTTTTTATCCATGAGCCACTGCAAGAATCAGTCCGTGCCATATACCGGGTGAAGTAAAGGAACTGGAAAACGTAAAAGAAGAGGAAGAATTTAGCGAGAGCGAAAGCTAAGAGCTGACTCACGACTTCCTACGAGAGTCACGTACCCACTGTAGAAGACGTGAGCTTCCAGCTCCACTTCCCTTTCCTATACCTCTACTTCCTCGTCCACTTCCTGCTTCCCATTCGTCCCTTGGACCTCTTGGTAGCCATTTTTATTCGTTTCTCTGTACTTTTTAATTTGGATGAAAGACCAGAAGGAAATGAACCCGCGGTCCAGGGGATAGAAAAAAGTATTACGTTTTATCAATCCTTCCTGTATATTTACAACGAAATTCCGCGATCATCAATTCGAGGAGGGTATTACTGGGAAATCGGTTTTTTTTATTTTCTTCAAAATAATGCAAAAATAATGAACAGTCATTACTGTCGCTAAGAGACTTTGCTGACTGAAACGCAGAAATATTACGCATATACATATCTGACTGCATAGCGAAGTTGGACTATTAACATTTTTGAATTCTTAATCGACATGCAAATTCGCGAGTCGTGATAACGATCTCTGGTTGGGCGACAACAAAAATCGGGCTACGTTTTCAACAAGAAATACGGTACCACGTATTATGCTGGTGCAAGTTTTACCCTACGTTAAAGTTCAGAGTCTGTCGTTCGCGTTGGTACCGATGAGATCAGATATAATTAAAAGTATCTCGGATGATTGGATGAATTTTTGTATGAGGTAGTAAGAAGTTTCTGTTAAACTGAATATACGTATCGTAGCCGACGAAGGCATGAATTTTAACTCGTTTATGAAAAACAATTTAAATAATCCCCCACGACGATTTCACAGCTACGAACTGATTTTGTATTCCTTTTTCGAAAAATCCAAATTTACCTTACGTCATCGAATGATACAATTTTCGAAAAATCCTCAAAGTGCATTCTCAATGTACCCTGTACAGTGACGCATATTAAATACATCGAAAAAAAATTTTTGAAAATAATCGTGACTATAAAATTTGAAAAAACGCTGAAAATTGCCGTTCGACAAGAAGTGCCGAAGATTCGAGTAAAGAAAAGCCACGGAAGAAACAGGGCTGATTGTATGATCAAATTTAAAAACCGGATGTTATATATGTATCTCACTCTTCCTCCCAGCAGACCACTCCATCTGTCAGCTTGTTTCGGATAAATGGCGAGAGCCTGGAAGCGGCGAAATAAAAATTAAATATCCCACGTATAAAGGAATCCTCTGAATTTTTTACGAGACTCTCTCGCCTCTTAATGGCCACTGGACTCGAGAAGCTTTAATATATTCGCGCACCCCACCAATACTATTACTACCCCCCTCTTACGGTTCATAATCCCTGTCCACGACTTCACTAATTGTCTCCGCTTACGTAACTACACACGAAACCCCCATTCTATCCCATCGAAACACACGAGAAGAGGTCAACGACCTAAAACAAACTTTTCGCATAAAAGGTTGCAGTTTACAAGTTTTCTACAGGGTGTACATTCTGTTCATATATCATATGCATGTCTATACTATTACGTACCTGTCATCAAGAGCAACTTATTTTTTCCTTAACACTTGATAAACTTAATTATCTCTATGCTTCTTATACGACCTAGTATTTTTTTTATACAGGACGTTTCAGTTTATATTTTTATTACTAGGCAATATACAGGGTCACCAGTTTTATTTAGGTACCTGTATTACATCTACTCGTATCGACCTATCTCCCCTTATCTATAACCCTTTACCTTTCCACCTACACAGGGCTCGGTACCTATATAACGGGCAGACTCGTTCACCTAGAAAGTTATCGGCGACATATGCGAAATCCATGAATATTCAAAAGCAACCATCGAACGAACCGACGATATTTCAGTACAGCTGCCCTCCGGGCGACGTGAAATTTGCTTCGTCGATACAGCAACGTATATCGTGGTAGGGAAGTTATACCGAAGCTTGCGAGACGTGGACTCGCATCGGAAAATATCTGGACATGGCTGATGCTGATAGAACTTTGACCCGGGTCGTGTCAGGATCGTTGGAATTAACCGATATAGGTATACATGGGATTATGGGAAAAAAAATTATTTTTTTTTTTTACAGTCAATTCTTCGTTAACATACCTACAGTGGACTATTGGTTGCTGCTGCGGCAGAGCTTTTTTTCGGACGTAGCACGACGAGGACCTCGGACGTGGCGAAAAGACGGAAATGAGTCGATGATTAATGGGCTATGAATTTCCGTTCCATTTGCTTCTTCCGGTGAACGACAAATTGCGGGTTATTGTCAGATTTGGTCTATCGATGCTTCGCTCTTCGCGCACGATTTTTCGGGCTGTTATTAAATACTCGCTATTGGATTGAAAATGCTATGAGCATTAAAAAAAAAAAAAAGTGAATGAGGACGTGCATACGAAAAATAAATCTTCATCGAGCCAACATTTTTCCCGCTCGAGTGACAAAAAATACGAATGTGAAAAATTAAAAAGCCATTTTTCAAAAATCGCTTGTCGACGTTACGTCGTTTGTTACTGGCGATGCCGTGTGGAAGTTTTATTGAAAAATATGTTGTTTATACAGTCACACACAAATATATAACTGTCCGTTATGACAGTTCAAAGTGCATTTATTCCATTTATTCGTAAAATACCGGCCAACCAATAATCGACGCCAAATTCGATAAGCCGATCCACCAATTCGAAACAAAAGAGTCAAAAAGAACTGTGTCGTGATCGATACAAAAATACGTCTGCGATCGTCATGGAAGCTTTTTAGATTCATGTACTAAATTTTGTAAAGTCATCACAATAATAGTTTTTACCATTGAAGCCGTATAGACACACATCCATAAGGAAAATATGAAGCGTGCAGGTTCGAGTGAAAATTATGCAAAAACTGCATATAGAAATTATTTCGAATGCATCGTAAAGTGTGACGGTTGAATGAGGCGATCGGTACGCCACCTTGAAAATGCAGCTTTAAGCGCTGTGAGCGATGTTGAGTGGCAAATGATTTCGATATCTGTACATTTTTCGAAAATATTCGGTTTTTTAACTTTTCTTTCTCCTACGATTTTATTCTCGTTACCCACTGACTTTTACCGTCTTTTTTTTTTTTTAATACATAAAAAGTAAATGGAAAAGGTGCGTGAATGTACACGCACGCGAAACACTACGCACGTGCGTTATATAAAATTGACATCGCACCATATTCATATCACGGTTCTGCAGTGAGTTTACTGCGAGTAACCTGCTTCATATATATATATATAAAATGGAATAAGTGCTGTAATAACTCTTCCTCCCCTTATGGCTGACGCTCTACGTACTTACCTGTACCGCATTCGTATATAGACTGTTCGGTCCATTTAAAAAATGCAGAGCTATATACGTACATAGGCATCTTCACTATGGGATTCACTTTACGTTTCACGTGAAATGACGTTTGCCGATTGGGATTAGTAAGTAATTAATTAACCCGTAAAAGGACATTCGTACCTATATCCTTGAGCAAAGAGAAAGACCCGTATCAGGTTACAAGATAAACGATATGTCGCAACCCACATCAAATTTGATGTGCAACTTCACCGCCAACTAAAATCTCTTAGGTAAATTTCTCCTGTGGAATTAGTGAAACTAATGTAGTACGTTCAACAGTTACTGCTCGTATGACGAAAGTATTAAATTATTAAGTGCCTCTAATTGTAAAAGGTCTACAAAGCGTTTACGGTACTGTCAGTTCGATAAGTCAGGTACCTTTTGGGCTTATGTGCAGTGTGAGTCTCTGACGTCAAATTTTGTTAACGAATTACGAGTCAGTTGGCAGGGATTGTTATTTTTGAGTATTCTACCCTAATCTTTTTCGGGCCCAATGCATCCGTGGACGTACGTATTATTTGGTATATTGCCAATTTTTTTTTCACGTCACGTTTCTCCTCGTACGCGAAATTTATATTTTCGCGCTTCGGGATCAGTTGAAGCTCACCAGACCATATTCAGTAATTACGCATTTCGCTAATAACTGCGGACCGGTTAGCGGACCGGTATTGTACGGTCTATG